ATATATATATATATATATATATATATACGAATGGTATTCACGCACGATGAAACAAATGAATGTTTTTGTCTTTGGCTGAGCCGGAAAGCGAGAGTCGTGCTCGAAACGCCAACGATACAATGGCCCGTGCGAATACTCGCTGATCAAACGCGGGTGTTGAAAGATCGGTCACTCGAAAAAAGCATTAGTGTAAACTCGAGCGTGCGGTCGTTGCGAACGCGGCCGTAAAAAGTCGAAAAGTTTGAATGGCCACCTGCGTTTCGTTCTCTGTTTTTCTCTGTCGAGAGCCCCGGTTGAATTGCTATCGAATATTTCGTTCGATCGTTGGAACGATTTCATCGATTTTTCTAGATTTTTCCTTGGCCTATCTCCCTTTTAACGATTTTGTTTTTCTTTCCTTTCACACAACTACTTTCCAGTTGAATTACTCGCGCGAATTTAGTAGCATTTCAAATTCTCACGTTCAAATTCTCGCTCACTTTTCGCCGGATCGTTGTTAAGAATATAGCATTTCGTTTCATTTTATAATTCAAGCTATTTAAGTATGTCGGTTTGTGATGTGCATTAACCTGAAATTTTCGTGCCTCCGAAATAATTATTATTATAATTATTACTTCTCATTTCTCTCGCGTCAAGTTATATTCGAGAGTTCGTGTCCCTTGACAAATGAGTTCTAATTAGATTCGTTGGCTGGAATCCTAATTAAATTTAATAAAACATGAAAGTTTCCACGCGTTTCCTGTTATTCTTTAAGATTAAAGATTCCTCATCTACGCGATTGTTAAAATGACAATGTAATTGTACAAAATTATTCGACGATATCGAAATGAGAGAAACATAAAATTTCTTTCGCCACATGGTTTTTCGTGGAAATTTAAATTTTCGCTACACATTTAGTTACAAAATCTGTGCTTGTTAAAAATTTCACACACTTTCAAATTACCAGCGACTTTATACACCTTGAATTGAACAGGCGTGCTAGAATGCGATGGCCTTAATGAGTTCGAATGTGGATTAGTGGAATATTTAATGCCTGTCAGTGATTCCATCGTGTTGTTCTCGAGTTAGAAGGTACTCAAGAATGTTCGTAATATCGATTGCATAATCGAAACTAACACTGCTCGGGTTACCAGCCGCCAAATGGACGACTAGTATGGTATCGGTAGTTGTGGAATATCTACGCCAAACAGCAAACAAAATTCAATTCGACGAGACCGGCCGGTTAATAGAAATATTCTATAATAGAGTATTACTCGTATCGACATGGAACGTTAACTTAAAAGTTACTTTAATTTCAATACTTGAGAATTACTTAAAACTAACTTTTGTTTCAAAGGTTAAAACGCTTCAAAAATCACAAATACTTAGAAATTCGTAATATTTTCGAATCTCTGTAATCAGTAGATCAACTCGATAGGCGAGGTCGTTCGTGTCGCACGATTTTCAACACTTTGAGCTCGATCGATCGAGAACGTGCGAGGGTAAACGTCGATCGTGAAAGCCCATACGTGAAAGAAGGACGAAGCAGCCTGAAAACGACGAACGGGCAAAGGAGGCATGGCCGATTTTGCGTCGCCTTTAATGACCGGTCATTAATAACAGCGTGGTACGTGTCGGAAATTTACGAGCGCGCCTGTTCAATTGCAGTTGCAACGAAATTACGAATCGACTGCAAGCCTCCCCTCCTTCGGTGCGCAGAGGACTCACCGCCCAGCTGACCTTGACCCTTGAACGTATCCTGTCATCGCTGGCGTTTTGTCCCGGCCGAAGACTAGGAATCATAGCGGCGGACAGATTGATCGAAAGCAGCGATGTCCACTATAATTTTCACTTCTTTTCTCGCGAAT